GGATGGGTGGAGTACACGGGTAGGGAGAGTGTGCAAGGAGACATAAAGTGTGCAGGTGTGTCTACTCGCCGTGCTGGCTGGTGTCTGCCTGAGCCCCTGCTGGCCCCTCTGCAGGTTCTCGCATGGGCAGGTGGTCCCCGTGGATGAGCTGCGTCCCTTCCAAGACCCAGATCTGAGCACCCTGCAGGCCGGCTCCGCCTGTCTGGCCAAGCACCAGGATGGCCTCTGGTACCCGGCACGGATCACTGGTGAGCCGGACCGTGGCACCTGCCTTCTTGGCTTCGTGGCACCCCAGGCCCTCCCTGGAGCTCCCTGTGGCTCACAGGTGCCATTACTTTGTAGCCGCTCCCTGCCCCTCTGAGCTGGGCCCAGCCTGAGCGCATCGACCCTCGCTTGTCCCCACCATGTCCCTGACCTCCAGTGTGGCTCCTCCCTGTCGGGGGCTGACCCATAGCCCGCCTGTGCCCCCCAGATGTGGACAGCGGCTACTACACGGTCAAGTTTGACTCGCTGCTGCTGAAGGAGGCTGTGCTGGAGGGGGACAGTGTCCTGCCCCCACTGCGCACAGAGGCCACGGAGTCCTCCAGCTCCGACAGCAGCGACTCTGATGTCTCCAGCTATGCCAGAGGTGAGGCGGCTGTCCAGGGCGTCCAGGGCCAGCGAGAGGAGGGCAGGGCTGGCAGCTAGCCCCTGACTGGCGGGGAATGGACAAGGGAAGTGCACCACCAGGCACCGCAGGCACCAGGGAGGCCCTGGCTGGGCCCTGAGCAGGGGGAAGGCCTGGCTGGGTCTGGAGAACTTGGTCTTCGAGGAGCCTCATGCAGCAGCCAGGTCTCGGGACGGGAGCTGGGGGCTGGGGCTGGGGCAGAAGGGGGGCCGCGAGGACGTCCCAGGAGGTGGTCGATCGGCCATGGATTTAAGGGTTCCTGGAGTTAAGGCCCATGTGGCTGGTGGGAGGGTGAACCTGGGGTTACTGGTGAGAGGAGGGTGGGGCGTGTGCCTGGGGACCTGCGGTGATGGGTGGTTTTTGTTTTTTTTTTAAACTGCCATTAAGACCAAGGTTTGTTTTCTTGTTTTTTGGGTTTTTTTTTTTTTTTTTTTTGATTTTATTTAACTTTACTTTTTTAAATGTGACCCGAGGGGGGGGGGGAGAGAGAGAGAAAAAAAGAAAGCAACCCACCAGGTCCAGGACTCTAACCATGGTCCACCAAGGAGTCCAGCGCCCCTTACCCACCAGGCCACCTGCCGGCCCCATGGTGGGTGGTTTCTGGAACCTCTGCAGTGATGGAAGGGAGGGGCTCAGCCTGATGAAGGGGAGAGGACCAGGAGCGGGAAAGAGGGGCCGTGGTGTGCCAGGGGTGGGAGGCTGCATCGCTTCCTGTCGTCCCTGGCCCACAGCGGTGGGGGCGGGGCCCTGCCCAGAGCCGAGCCCTCTGGCTAACATTGGTCAGACCCAAGCTGCCATGCGGAGTTCCAGGCCTGGCCAAGCAGCTGCCCTCTGTCTCCCGCAGTGGTGGGATCAGGCACTGTGGACACGACCTGCAGCCTCGCCTTTGCGGGCTGGGAAGCGCACACACGGGGCATCGGCTCCAGACTCCTCACCAAGATGGGCTACGAGTTCGGCAAGGGTGAGCAGCACTGCCCGGGGGAGGGGGTGGCACAGCCTAGGACTTGTGGCAATTCCCACCTGTGTCTCCCCAGGGCTGGGCCGACATGCACAAGGCCGGGTGGAGCCCGTCCACGCGGTGCTGCTGCCCCGAGGGAAGTCGCTGGACCAGTGCGCAGAGACCCTGCAGCGGAGGGTCAAGGGCGGTGAGGCGGTGGCCAGCAGGCCCCCCAGGCGTCGCAGGAGAGGGGGCGGGGGTGGCCGGCCACCCCCCCGGAGCGTGTTTGACTTCCTGAATGAGAAGCTGCAAGGCCAGGTTCCCGGTGCCCCGGAGACTGGGGCGGCCCAGCCAGGGAGAAGGGGCGAGAACATGTACCACGCCAGCAAGAGTGCCAGGCGGGCCCTGAGCCTGCGGCTCTTCCAGACGGAGGAGAAGATTGAGCGCACCCAGCGGGACATCCGGGGTATCCAGGAGGCCCTTGCCCGGAATGCCGGCCGGTATGTGAGGCTGACCTCAGCACTAGGGGCAGGCCTAGAGGTCACCTGCCAGTGTCCGAGGAGGACGTGGGGTAGCCACAGCAGCCTGGGGCCCTTGGCCGTGGTCTGACTCACGCTGACCTTCCGGCTCCTCCGCAGGCACAGTGCGACAGCAGCCCAGCTGCAGGAGAAGCTGGCAGGTGCGCAGCGGCAACTGGGGCAGCTGCAGGCCCAGGAGGCCGGTCTGCAGCGGGAGCAGCGGAAGGCCGACACCCACAAGAAGATGACGGAGTTCTAGAGACTGCACAGCAGAGCCCCGGGCTGAGGGGCCGTCTGTAGGGAGGCCAGCCTGGCCACCGGGACGCGTGCAGGCCACCTCTGGACAGCCCTTGCTCCCTGGCCCACCCGCCAGCGTTGTGGCCTCTCCTTAACAAGGACATTAAAGTGCTTTGGTGGCGAGTCGTGCAGTGGAGGCTTGGCTGGCTGTGGGGTCTCTGGGGAGAGCAGCCTGTGTAGAAGGCGGGGCTGGAGGAGTGCCACGCAAGGTGCCCCTGCCGAGTCAGAGGGCCAGCTTCTCCCCTCTCTGGAGGCGGGTCTGGGTACTCTCTTGTGGCTGACACCCACCAGCGGTGGGCATGCTGCTCCGTGGGTGAGGCCACGTGGATGGCCTGTGGCAGATGGAGGTGCCTCCTCCAGCCTGGGTCCCTTGCCTGCTTCGTCACCTGTGCAAGGGGCCAGGCGTGCAGCCCAGGCTGGTCCAGGATAGTCTGCACCTTGGGTGGCGCAGCAGGTGGGGAGGCCGGGGGGG